AGGAATCTGGGAGACGGTAGTTTCTTTTTTTTCTACTTAGCCAACAGGAAGCAAATGGGAAATATAATACGACTCCAATATTATGAAAGTGGGATGGGAACTGCTGCCATTTAACAGAACCTACCAAGCAGGAAAGCGATTCCCACCTTACAAATAAAACAGGCAGAGTGTAACTCATCATCTCTTATCAACATATAGTCCTTGGTAGACCAGTGATTTCTTTTCCTTCTAAAGTTGAGTCAAAACTCTTAGTAAGACAAATCGTTTCCCAAAAGAGTCCCAACTTACTTACGTATCAATATGTATATGTGACTGATATTTTTCCACCGTTTTCCTTTGCATAAGGCAGAAATACAGGTATAAAACCACAAATGCATTATTCCAAAATTTCTCCCCAAAATGTCTGTGGCCATTCTCACACAACTCAAATGGAAGTATGTTGGAGAGTAAACTGGAGTCAAAAGTGACAGCAATCTTAACTGATTATAGCTAAAATATCTTAATCTTGCAAATGGTCATCTGGACACATGGTTAAAGCCCCCCACCCCCACCCAGGGCCTAGAAGGGGACTGTGTAAGGGAGCAGGTTCCAAATTGACCTGCATTAGCCTCACAGTAAACTGATCACTGTTTATGTTCTATTTTCTCCTCTATAATGACTAAACTTGGACACTGCTTGCACGTAGTAGGAACTCAGTGCATGTTTTTAAAATTGAATTAAGCCTACATATCTGGACATATTGTTCACATGGAATAATTCTTACCTATTGCTGTTAACTGACAAGGTATTTCACCAACCCCTAATACTGTTATTCACCCCCAACTGCTACCCTGGACACACACACCTCAAGTATTCCTTTCATTTAATGATCAGAATGTAAACACTCAAGAAAAATATCAAGAGTGAACAAAAATTAATCGTTTTAAACATGTTTTCACTATTTCAACCTTCTCCGCAAATATTCTCTCTTTAAATTCAAAAAGGATATTATTCCGAGACCACTTCCCCACCAAACTGGCATGAACCCTGCTGAGAAGCCTCACGGATCACATCCTCTTTTCAAATCCCAAACAAAGCCCCAATGTTCCCTATACCAAGGGATGCCTTTATTAATATGCACGCAGTCCTTCATTGTTCCTCCCAGGAAAACCTATCGCTACCCTTACAATGATTTTAAATCAAGATGTACTCATAATTTTGAAAGTGTTCTTTATACATCTAAAGCTAAAGGTACATCAAAAATTTTGAAACCAAATCTGAAACAAAGTTATTTTTGTCAGATGGGTATTTAAGGTCTACAAGGCTGCTAAGACCATGCAATGGTTCTAAGCTCTAGTACTACCATTAATAATTCTTTGTGGCATCCTAGAAAAAAACGAGTTATAATCTTGTGGAGATTGGAATATAACCTAAATTCCATCAATGACTACTTGCTAAAGAAAGTGTATACTAAAATGTGTCTAAAGACCAGTTAAGTGCCCTGGTTAAAAATAGCAGATTGTATATCAAGAGCCTGAGTGCCTTTGACTCATTAATTAATGGTGTGAATGAAAACTTCAACAACCTGTATGTAATAAACTTTTACCAAACAATAAGGTCTTTTTATGACTACAAGTTCATAAACATTGGGGAAAATAAAAATTTTAAGTAAGCCACCTAAGATAAATCATAAACCCTCTTGATTCTAATCAACAAATCACCCTCCCGTCATCACAGAAATACTTCATAAAATGTACTACCCATTTTAACATCCTGATTCATAATTTAATCTCTTCCTCCTAAGGTATTCTCTAAAGAACTAGTTTTCCTTCTTTTTTAATCTCCTTCAGTCCTATATCACACTGCTTTCATGGCCATGTTAGTAAAATGACTTTGAGTTACATCTGAATGCTAAATAAAATTATTCATTCTTCATTGTTTTCTTCCAATATTGGTTTCATTTCCATGCCTCCCACATTTTTCTATTTCTCTTATATGTATTTCTAATTTTTTTAATTCAACCTGAATGTGAATACTCTGTACGTGTCGATACTATTAAAACAAGAATAAAATCAATTACTGATACATTCAATTCCAAAACAAGTCAATAATGAGTGTGAAGTGCTATTTCTTCCTATGGGACTAAATGGAGCGATACTGCTGATAGTGGTAAGAACCAACTATTCAACTCAACAGCAGAGAACAGTGGCCAGCTGAAAGATTCACACGCTTGAAGATTACAGCTGGGATCCATTTCCCCACACTAAACACAATCCACGGCACCACCCATCATTGGCTAGACCAATGGTTCTCAACAGGGGACAGGTGGCCATGTCTGAAGTGTTTACTCAGGGAAGGGGGCAGGTGATTACTGGCATCTGATGGGTAGAGACCAGGGATGCTGCTAAACATCCTACACAGGCACAGGACAGCCCCCACACAAAGAGTTATTCAGTCAAAAATGTCAGTGCATAGGCTGAGAATCCCTGACCTAGACATGTGTCCCAATTCTGAGTAAAAATTACAGAACAGCTGGACAGAGGCACCGTGGTGCTGTGAAAGGACCGCAAGATCAGGAGACGGAGAGACCTAAAACTTACTGAGTACCTGCTACATACCAAGCCTTGCGTTAGGCACTTTACACATACCATCTCACTTAAACCTCTATCCCATAGGGAAAAAGTGATCTATTCTCACTTTACAGATGAGAAGGTTGCACTCAGGGAGATTAAGGAACTTATTCAAGGTCACTCAGCTAGAAAGGGGAGGAATCATGATTCCAATTCAAACCAAATCTGTTCCATTCCACAATACTACAAAGGCTAGAGGTTAAAAGACCTGGATTTGATTCAAAGAGTTACCCGTATGAATTCAAGCACATCACTTAACTTCCTAAACTTGCATTTAGAAAATAAGTCAATGGATAACACGTGAAAATACAAATGCTGTCGACTGCCACCATACAATCATGTTAAACATCTTACAATGAAAAACAAAGTGCTTCTTAGAATGGAGGTTCAAGATTACCATTTTTCCTTAAAAATAGAATTTATACAAGTGTACAGAGTACCAAGTTATACAGAGTTTTTAAGAATCAGGGTAAATGTTCAGAAGACGTTGTGCCTTCCATAGCCACACAACAACTCTTAATACTAAGAAGAAATAAATTATCTAATATAAACACTATTTTAGTATGAACTTCCCAAATTTTTAATCAATCAGCCCTAAAATGCTCAAGACCATATCGGCAACTTTGATTGGGCTCTCTCCACAAGTGGCAGCAAAGGTCACAAGCAGAACTAAGTAGGAAGAGCATGGATCACAAGTCCATTACTACTGCTGCAGGAAACAACTCTGCCATTGAAAGAGAGAATGTATTACATTGAAGTCAACACGTTATCATTCATATGACTGATGCAAAAAGTAATTCACTTCAACATAAGGTTATGATTTTCTTTTAAAATACCACCAGAATCCATTAGTCTTTGACAACTAAACTACTAGTAGGTCCACAAACATAACTTGAACTCTGGGATTAAGTTCAAGGACAATGTAAATCCAGTTTGTTCCTTCTGGAAATCACCACTACCAATGCTACTTCTAAAAGGAGGTTGCATACGACCATTTTTCCCTTTGAAACACTGGATCTCAAGGCATGACTTTGCTGTATTTTATGAAAGTATCTTTTCATATCATATTAATACACTGTAAATAAATTATAATTACAAGTATTTCCCACTAATATTGTCCAAGTTTAAAAGCAATAGACACATCAAATGAACTAAAAAACCTGTTTGAAATAATTTCAAAAGAATCGTAAAAAGACTGCCTTTAAATAAATTAAAATTCTAAAAGTCTGTTTACCTGACACTGAAAATAAATAATAAATGTTCTGTTGGAACTGAAAGAATTGATAACATACTCTTGACTGTTCTCTATTTTAATCAATTTAATAAGTCACTTTACTAATTCTGAAGCACATCTTTCACCTTAAGCATTTTGACACTTCCACCAACTTTTTAAGTAAGGGTGGATTTTCTTTTTTTAATGTTTTTAATAGATCTGTCTCTCCAAATGCTGAATTAGATAAAAACTGATTGGAGAAACCTATTATCAACCTTCTCTTCACCATCAATAGATTATCTGGTTAAGCCGTAGCTATATGTTGATGGGTAGGTGATAATCTTGAAGAATTTACATTAGATAATGACCTAAGTAAAATCCATTTATCTGACATCCTGTCAACTTTTTACTTTACAAGCTTGTTTTTCATCACAACAAATATTAATGTACAGGGAAATCGTACTGTTTATCTTTATGTTAATTCAGCCTCTTCATTTCTCCCAAAATAGCAGCATTCTCCTCAGGGCTCGGATTTTTTTACATCCCCAACCGAGGGAATATCGTTGCCAGTCTTTGAAAAGTACTATCGGCTGACAGCTCCTTGCGAAAGCGCAGCCCTCCTACCAGCGCATCACCCCCCCATCCCCGACCAGGTCTTGGCGAACGCCTGCAGCGCCGAACACATCCCACCCGGGCTCGGCCGCGAGCAGCACGAGCGCGCAGAGCCGGCCTCCCGCGTCCGGGGACCGACCCCACTCCCCTTCTCCGGGGCCTCGGTGCCCCGACACGCCGCGCACTGACACTCGGCCCCCCGCCCCACTCCCAGCGCAGCCGCCCGCCCACGCTCCTGCCCACGCTCAGACCTAAGCGGGCCGCGCTCGGCCGCAGGCCCTACCCGCTTCCCTGGCCTCCCATGAGGGGTGGGGGGCCGCGGGGCGGAAGGGCCCGGGGCCTTGGCGAGGGTCCTCCAGTAGGAGTCTGGGCGGGGAGGGAGCGGCGCCGAGGCGGAAGGGCCGGGGCCTGGGGGGCCAGGTTCTCCTGGGGCCGGGGTGGGGGTCCGCCGTGGGAAATGGGGGCCGCAGGGCGGAAGGGCACGGGGCTAGGGGTCGCGGGGGTTGGGGGAAGGGCCCGCGGCGGGGTCCTTCTGTGGGAGAAGGGGGTCTCGAGGGGCGGCTCACCCGCGGCGGCGTCCGGCTCTCCCGCGTCGCCGGCGGCGGGCGCCAGGGTGACGGCGCCGTCCCTCCACACGCGGATCTGCGCGGCCGAGCGCACCCGGCGGCGGGGCTGGCGGCGGCCGGCGGCCGCGGCGCGCAGGGAGCCGCAGCACTGGTAGCACACGGCCCACGCCTGCTCCTCGTTGATGGGCTGATTGTAGAGCCGCAGGATTTCCTCCAGGCTCAGCGCGTGCTGCGGGCCCGCGGCTGCCCCGGGGTCCGGAGGCCCCTCGCCGCCCTCCGGGCCGGCCGGCTGAGCCATCCCGTGGGTCGCGCCGCGCTCCGGGCGCCGCGTCTCCTCAGCTGCCGAGCATATTCTCCGCGCACCGCCGCCGCCGCCTCATCCCCGGAACCCCGCCCAGCGGGCCGCGCGCGCCGCCGCGGGGACGGGGGTGGACGGGGCGGAGACCAGGCCGGGGACGGGCCACAGGCCGGGCCGGAGAACCGGACAGGGTAGGGTGAGAAACGAGGCGCGAGATGCTGCGTACCCTACAAGACCGCAGCCAGCCGGTAGCAGCGCAATGGCGTCCGCGGACCCGCCCTCCGAGCCCCGCCCCAGGGGCGCGTCCCGCCCATAACCCCGCCCCCACTTAGAACCCCGCCTCCATGGTCGGCCTGGGTCCTCCCCGCCCTCTGAGTCCCGCCTCTGTCCCGGGTTCTCCTGGCACACCGAGCCCCGCCCCTGGGTTGGCCCCGCCCCCGGGGGGATCCGCACCGCACCGCACCGCACCGCACCGCACCGCACCGCACCGCACCGCACGTGCACCCACACCCGCGCGAACTCCCGCGCCCTGGTCCAGTCTCCGCGCACTGGCCGACTTCGTAGTCCCCTGGCCTCGCCCCCCCCCGCGTCCCCGTGCCCTGCCCTGCTCCGTCGAATACTATCGCCATCAACGCACCGGACCGTTCGCTTGGATAACCTCCCTCTCCACTCCCAACTCCATCCTAAGCCCCATGAGGACAGAGTCTTTTCGGGTTTTGCTCACTGGCTTCTCCCAAGAGCACAGATCAGGGCCTGGGGTACAAGCCTGTTGCAAACAATCTGCAGACGTTCCCTTGGATTCGCTTGTGACGTTTGTACAACTCTTCACCAAGATGATGTTCCCAGTGACCTCGTAGCCCAGTTAACCCAGTCTATTCATACCTCATAGAACCGATAGGACAGGGGCAAAACTGAACTGGGGCATTCAGCCGTAGAATAAAAGACAGAAGTCCTCCTAGGCCTGGGCCTCGCTGAACTCATTAAGTGCACAATAAAACACATAATTCTTAGATAAAACAATCTCTCATTGGCAAATAAGTAACTGGTAACATTCCACTCTGAGACTAGTCCAGTATGAGAACCTTAGAGTTGAAAGCATCAACCAAGTAAGAAATGGATCTATACTAAGTACCAATAAACCTTCTAAGGCAGTTTTATGTGCAGTATTAATATTGCACTCTCAACAACTGCATCTTGCCATAGAAATTACAACAGTCATTGTAATGCCTGAGACACCACAGTACATACAGTGGGGAGAAGAGAGGAAAGCAGAAGGATATAAGAGTAAGAAATTGAAAGACAGGAGGAAAAAGTTTCTCCCTAGGCACCCTATTATAATTTCATTACAAGAGATACAAAAAAACCCTTTAAAGTAACATCACTTAATTATGTGTTCATAATCCAATTTGTGAAAATGCATATGTGTGCCACATCCCTGACGAGAAAAGGTCTAATGCCTTATATGATATAGATAGGATAGATAGATATAGATATACAAAACCTCTTGATTAAAAACATAGAAACAATTACTAAATTTTGCTAGTTTGCTTAGGCCCTGTGTGAATTTTGAAAATACAAACGGCTTTAAAATACTGATTTTTTTGGCATCTTAGTGCCCCGACCAGGGATAGAACCCGAGTTCCCTGTAGTGGAAGAGCGGAGTCTTAACCACAGGACCGCCAGAGAAGTCCGTAAGATACTAGTTTGAACAATGTAGTAAAACAGCGGGTCTACTTTTATAGACAATAGCACCATCTTCTGGCCTTATGGGATATTGCTGCAGTGTTGCGCTTGGACAACAACAGGCAAAAATCACTAACATTTTTGTCCTTTCCTCACCCCTCAAAAGACAAGCAAATGATTTAATCAACTGAGCAATCCATGAGCCAGACACCTGCTACCCCTGGCACCGGGCAGCAAGTAAAGTAAAGATAACGATGACAGGAAGAAGGAAGGGAGTGGAAGTGAGGAAAAGAAGTCCAAATTTTACCTCAAATGTTACCTTTGAAACCAATTCACAACAGAAGGATGTTTTTCCCTTCATAAGTGATAATTTTTTTAAATATGAATACATTTTAGTAAGAAAAATACTTTGGTACTGACTCACAGGAATATACAATATTACATACAACAAAAGGGCTTTTGTTTTTTTTTGCCAAACACAAATCCATGACTAATATACTGTGTTTAAAGTAAACTTCTTGCCTTTGTGAGCTTATATGGAATTAAGTTGAGGCAATATGACAAGTTAAATGTTTGATCCTTCTGTATGCAGTAAAAATAAAAGGTAAATCCTTAAAAAATCCTAGCTACCTTCTATTATATTGATAAATCTAGTCAATGTATACCCTGAACCCTTGATGCTTTTTTATACAAAGACAGTATAATTGTACTAATATTTATATGATTTTCAGAACGCTTTGCAATTTTGATAAGCCTCACTGTCCAACCCCCCCCCCCCCCCAGGACTCTTAGAAAGTGACTGCTGACAGCTCAAAGGCTCTCAGAGGCTGACACGATCTCTGCAGGTCCAAGCAACACTGTGGGATAACCCGGGACCTCCCCATTTTCTCATTTTCAACTCAAAATCGAAGATTCAAATACCTTTATGAACAGTATACTTTGTTCCAATTTCTGTCATTGATTTTATTTTTTTATCCTGTGGCTTCACCACCCTTAAAAAATTGCTCTGTGTAGTTAAAATATCTGAACAACTCAAATCAACATTTGAATGCTGTCTTCAAAGTGCCGTGAGGTCTGTGAAAAGTAGTGGCCCGTGTTAACTCTGAATATGACTTTAGTTTTCGTTGATTTTATTGTTGTATTTATTTAAAAAACAGAACCCTTGAAATGTTGTCTTATATTTAATTATCATTTTTGCAGAATAAATGTACTTCATGCTTCACACTCTCGATGTGCCGGCTGAGCTGCTCCGAGGCTTTCGGGGAGCACACTGCCTGTGCAGCCCAAGCTTATCCCAGACACTCCCAGACAATTGCTCCTAAGAGGCACATTCACCTAGAAAAGTGCACCAAAAAGGAAAAAATAGAACAGCATATTTTTTTCAGTGTTATAACCTAGATTTTTCACTGCCTACAATTATAATACCTTATAACTTTACAGTGATATTTTATACTTTCAAAGTGCTTTCTTCAGTTATACAACTTGAAGATCAGATATTATTTATCTCACAGATGACATCGTACAGATGACAAAATACAGGGCTGGTAATGAAAGATGTAGACTGGGATCCAGGCCTCCTGATCAGCCCAGCTCTTTCTGCTACACTAAAACATCTCTCAACTAGCCCAGAACAATTTAAAAAGTCCTCACACTTCATCTCATCCTGTACCAAGCAGGAGTACAGTAAAAAGCAGATGCTTTAAAATTTGTACATACCAACATGATCGATTAAACTTCTGATAGTTTAAACACTTTAAATAAATGATGTGATGCCCCATCTCCCTTGATTGGTCCTTGTGAATTCATTAGCACTTAAGTTTCACCCCAGCAGTTATCTCCCCACAGTAGTACTCATCTTCAAAGCAATCTATATGACTTCATCCCCATCAAAGGGCTGTAAATGATCACTCCTCTAAGGAGGTGAATTCCATCAACAATCCTAAATGCAATTTGAAACTCATCTCTTGTAATCAGTTATCAGATTGAATATTAACCAAAATCTTTAAAATCTGATATGAAAATTAGCATGTAACCTTATATGCAGAACTAGAAGTACATAGGCCAGATAAGACCACAACAGAATTGGTTTCCTCAAGTCTATAAACTTGTAAAGAATTAGCTTTTTTCTTATGGCAAGGATACATGTTTATTGGAAAACATTTAGTAAATATCCATTAATGCCCTTTTACTAAGTTATAACCTAAACCAGTGTTTTTCCACATTTTCATTCTGCATCATCTAATATGTAAGTTTACCTATCCTACCTTGATTAGATAAATTTATATACCTATTGATAAAAATTGAGGAAAAGTAGAGGAATGAGGTAAAACATATGAACAGTAGCATATCGGTATGTCCATGGGGGATTCTGGAAAATCATAGGCCAAACAATAGTCATGTTTCAACTTCTTAATGTGATTCTCCTTTGAAATAATTATTTTAAAACCAACAAGGAGACATGGTATTCTCATCCTGAATATAAGTAAAATTATTAGCTTCAATTAGTTAAGAAGATTTGATTTGGAAAAATCTCATAGATCTAAATTTTAAGCCAAGCCACTATTTTACTCTTAGAGAAATTTGAGTCTGCAGGAGATATATGATTTACTTTAAATTATTGCTAGTTGCCGAAAGTAATTCAAATATACTTCCTATAACATAAGCTTTCCAGATGCTCTTTTTTAGCCATATTGCCTAGTTCTCATTGGATTTCAAAAGTTAGGATAAGCAGTAGTTCACTTCTTAATTCCAATGGGAAATAGAAAATAACATAAGGCACAAATATATCATAGAAAAATGTTGATGTTTAAAAATAATTGCTTGAAAATATAGATTCTCAATAAAACTTTTAAGAGACCAGAGTTTTGGGCTGTTTAAGGTAAAGAGACAATCCATTTTCAGGCCGAACTCATACCTTATTGATGAGACAAAGCTAAACTATTTTTTTCAAACCTCTGTTAATTTCTTTTTATCTTTATACCAAAAAAAGAAAATGAAAAATGGCCCTTTCTTTTTGCTCAAAAAACCTTGTCTTTTTCCCCTAACGTACACAGGTAGAAGTCTAGAGCTGCTCTCACATCTAGAATTCTACTCTGACCCTGTGAAAGGCTCATTTCTCTTCCAAAGTCAACATGTAACCAACACACATGTGGCTCACCTTCTAATTAAATAAGCAATGAATTAAGCACCTTCTAGTTAGCCTCTAAGGCTTGCCTTGGTAATTTTTGTGGAAGGTTATAGGTACGGCTGTACTCATATTTATTCACTCACTGTTCTGTGAACCTGAATTCCTGTGGCCTCTTGATCCTTTCTCAAGAGTCATTCATGGAGCACATCTTTCTCCTATTTGCTATGCACGCTCATTCCTCTCAAGAATTGAAAGTTGTAACCCTTGCTCCTACTTTCTGCCTAGTCATCATAATCCTTTTAAAGAGAAGAAAATCATTGACATTGAAATTCATAAAGACACGACTCCCAGATTTCAACCTGAAGCTCTACAATATTTTAAACAAACTTCCTCACTATTCTTTTAATGGTATTATTATTCCCTTGCAAGATTTGGTAACTAATGGTCATTCTTCAACTGTAATACT